GAATATTTCGAGTACTTATGTACACTTGAAATCGAGCGTGAACGTTTTCGCCTTAACTCAGCACAGCAATAAGCTATGAAAATTTTAAGAAATGGAGATGAAAGAGCATAAAAGATTAGTTCGTGTACAAAAATCACGATAATCGAAAAATTTAACCAGCTGAAGAGTGAGAGTGAAAAAGAGCGAGAAGCGCACGCGGAGCTCGGTCGGCGGGGTCCCTTAAAACTCTACGTTTTGTATTTCAAGTCTGTGTGGACAATGGATTACTATTAAACGGCCCAAAGGTTAATCTTTGCAAATCGACAACCGAATTTCTTGGTCATCGAATCACCAAAGACGGAATTACAATCACCGACAAGCACATCAAATGTATCAAGGACCTTGAGCCGCCAACTGATCGTCAATCCCTAAAACGAGCAATTGGAATGATCAATTACAACGCGAAATACGTCAAGAACGCATCAATTATTCTGAGTCCATTATACAAACTTACCAGCTCAAAAGTCAATTATATCTGGCAACAAGAACACCAAGATGCATTTGAAAAGATAAAAGAAAAACTTTTGGAACGACCATCTCTCGGACATTTCATGGAAAATGCGCCTCTTACCTTGGTATCCGACGCTTCTGGACACGCGATGGGTGCATGTCTTTACCAATGTCAAGATGGAACTAATCTCACAGCTCTTGGTTACTTTTCAAGACCATTTAATAAAACCGTGATCAATGCGTGAAAAAGAACTTATCGCTCTTATGAAAAGTATGCGTTACTTCGAATACTATCTTCTCGGGGTCGAATTTACCGCTGTCACCGATCACAAATCACTTCTCTAACTCTACAAAAAACATTCGAGAAAAGCACTCGACCACCGACTTGCAACGATCCAACACTATCTTCAAAACTTCAACTTTAAAATTGTTCATCATAATGGTCACGATCCAATCATGGCAACTGCTGATGCTCTCAGTAGAATCCCTCTTTCACACTCTTCAATGCTCGAGACAGAGTCAAAAGGATTTGAAGAAGTTTCTGACACGATTTTCCTGCTCCTAAAAACCGATGACTCAAAAATCTGTTTCTCCTTTGAAAATCGACGCTTTAATTATGAAGAAATGGCTTCTCTCCAAAAACAGTGCTCTCTTACGAACAATCTCATTATGAAGATCCGAGAAATCAAACCTAGCAAATTAAAGCTTAAAAACGATGTTCTCTTCGCTAATGAAAGACTCGTTCTACCGTCGTCACTATCTAATGAGTTCCTACAGTATCTTCATGTTCTCATGGCCCACTGTGGTTGCAAAGCCCAACTGAACCTTTGTAAACGATTTTATATCCACAAAGTTCAAGATCGCGTTCGCTCAATCAAAACAAGCTGCGCAACATGCCTCAGAATCAAGCCACAAAAACAGCTTAGACCAAGCATGATCCCGAACAGATTCTTCGAATCAATACCATTTACAAAATGCCACATTGACTTGGTAGACTATGGCAGACCTGATGCAAACAACAAGAGATACTTGCTCACATGTATTGACGAACTTACTTCTTATCTCGACGGAGAACCTCTACCAAGCAAAACTGACAGCGCAGTAGCTAGAGGCTTACTCAAACTCATTCTGCGTCACGGAATCAACGGCATTATCGTTAGTGACAATGGGAGAGAATTTGGACCTCTTTGCCGCGAGATAATGGAACGATTCGATATCAAACAGATCACAACTACTGCCTACCGATCATGCTCAAATGGTAAGGTAGAACGATCACATCGCGACATCACAAAATTCATCAAAACACTCGGAGGAAACAACAGAAATTGGTCTCTCAAATGGCCAGAATCCTGCTATTATATGAACAACCTCCCACGAGAATCACTGGATTCACTTTCTCCAAATGAATGTGTCTATGGCAGATCATTCCATGTTCCCTTCAAAATCGACTCTGTAAATGGACAAAAAGAGCCATTTGTAAAGGCTCTCAACGAATACCTGAAAGATCTCCATCCAGCTCTCCTTAAGTTTCATATGGATCGATATAATAAGCTCGTCGTTAAAGACAAAAACTCCGCTCCTGTTCTCGAAATCGGAACTAAAGTTCTTACTTATAAACCTGATCTTACAAGTGGTAAGCTAGGAATCAACTGAAACGGCCCGTTCTACGTCAAAAATAGAATTTCGAAAGATTCCTACATCCTAATGTGCCCGAGTTCACACCGCACATATCGCCGTCATCTCAGGTACATCCGACCTCTTCGAACGTTCAACGAAGAAACAATTAAAGCTGAAATAGTCACACCGGAAACTATTGAAAATGTAGCTCACGCTGACAACGGTCAAAAATCAGCCGCTCTCAAAAACGAATGCTCAGATGATCCGATCGACAAAGAAAATCTTTTTAAAGAAGAAAACTGGTCAGCTCGATTAAGACCAAGAAAACAAAAAGAAAAATAAAAAGGAGAAGGTGCTCCCTCCTTAGCCTTGCAACGTTCCTCCGATCCAAAATTCCGCTCTCAAAAGATCCATGATCACATGTGTTTCTCACTGATAAAGCCCTGAAGTTCCATATTTTTTCGAAAACAACGCTCACAGAGTAAAGCTCGATGCTCTTTTTATCATAAGGATGCTCGCAAGGAATCAAAAACTGATGAAATTCAAATATCCAAGAACCGACAACGCCATGTTCGACGCTCAAAAACGTTCATGAGGTTCAATCACTCAGGCAATTCTTACTCCAACAACTACTCGACCTTGTTCATTCTCATCAAATTGGCCACACAGATGTGAAGAAAATGACACTTTGTATTCTTGGCGGAAGAATTTATAGATTGGCGTATCTATATCTCATCATTACACATCCAACTTGCTCGGAAGATCACTGCTCATATTTTCCTTCTACGACTCAGGAAATATACCGCGCGCTCACTCTCTCTGATATGTTTTCAGAAGGAAATGACTCGTATCATGACGTGGACAATGACTCCTTATTGAGGAAGTCATGTACAAACTTAGCAAGAAAATCAAAACCTTCAAAGAGAGAAAACGAAAAATGCCAGATCTTATCGACGATAACCTATGGCATACTCAGCCCTTCTGTGCTAAACGAAGATACGTTCAATTTGCTCTCAATTTTATCCTTGGAATGAGAGTTGATATCCCGGAAGAATTCGAAGGTCAAGAGAATCAAACGAATATGATCAGATTATTTCTTTTAGAAATAACAAGAACAATCAAATCACTTCCACCCTTCGATTACCCAGTGGAAAAGCTCGTCTGCACACCATCAAAGGAAGCCTTGTTCACATGGCTCGTGAAATCTTCGCTTTTTCTCGTGTCAACTTCAGCTGGTCAAGACAAAAAGCAGATAGTGATACAAAGCTTCAAGTCGATCTTCCACAAGAACCGTGCTTGCTGGAAAGCCTTACAAAACGCTCGAGACGAAGAAATCGAATTCTGCTGCACTCAGGCACGCGCTGAGTTATATTCATTTGCAGAATCAAGAGGACTTGCCCAGGTTCAACTTCAACGGCATGACACTTTGTTCGATGATGAAGATCCCAATGTTCAACCCTATCGACATGACATCAATTCAGACGATAGCAGCTCAGACTCACTCGCCCTAGCAGCTCAAGACTTGGAAAATCAGATCAACAGTACATAAGTTTCCAAAAAGAAAAAGGAGAAGGAATGTATTGGGATTCTATCTCCGCTGCAATCATCAAAAGTCTATTATCATAAATCTACTCTCACCGCCGCGGGCGTGAACAAATCACCACCACGGTCGATCATTCGCCGCCGCCTCTGCGAAATACATTGCTATCCGCGTATACTCGTTCAAAATTTTACCATGATGGCTACTGATCCACCGTCGCCGTTATGCTCTCATCCTCATGACCTTGTTCTTACCACTATTGCTACTCTCATACAATCATTAATGATACTTTACTACTGTGACCCAAGTTCAACTAGTGTTACATAGTTTCCATCCTCACCATGGTATCATTTCTACCATGGTAGCCTTAGAGTATATAAACAAGCTCCAACCAGTCCTGTTCACTCATTCATCCACTTGTCCAGATCGAGACAACATCAAATAATAAAATACTCTTTTTACAAACTCCGGCTCATTCCTGCAGAGATAAAGTCCCAACACATTTAGTGGACTTCACCGCAGCCCTAGTATAAAACCGAGCAAGGATCTTCGACCTTTAGTAGCTCTTGACTTGTACTTGTACTGGCCGAGTAAGCGCTCATCTTATTGGTGACTGAAGTAACTCGAGCTCCACGTGATTCAGCGGTCTATTAGTCTATTCGGCTTGACTTCTTAGGACGGACTCATCCTGAAAAGTCTTGTGTTTTTTCACAGACTAGCCTCTTTGCTATTCTTAATAAAAAGCACGGAGTATAAAGAACCGTCAACACACAAATTGACGCAAAACTTCTTGTGGAATATTATTGAAAATAACGGTTGTAAGAACCTTTTGTAAGAATCAAGTTAACGACATCCACTTTCATTTTAAGCATTTTTGTATTTTTTTTTATAAACAGTTACAGTAATATTTAAAAACTTGAATTTTTAGGTTCCAAAGTCTCCAATCGAAGTTTTATAACCTTAAGGTAAGGATATGTCGGAGAATAATATTTCCCGATATGATCGTAAGATCCTACAAGATTCGCCAAAATGTCTTTCAAATATAAAACCGGTTTTCTGTCAGCTAAAAGGGCGAATGAGAAAAGAACATGATAATGCTGTAGCAAAAGATGCAGGGCTTGAACTGCTCTCTTGCTATAAGCAAAACCAAATCATCGCAAATCTCCAAAGAACGGGAGAAATATTTCCTTGTCTTATTCTGGACCACCAATTAAAGCTTAAAATAGAGGACCCGTTTTTTACTGGAAGGCATTACTCGAGGAGTTAACGGCACGTCCGGAAAATCTTGACGAGCAAATTATCTTCGTTAAATCAAAAGATAAAATTAAACTCGATAGCAGTAGGGTCTCGGTAAATGAGCGTCTCAAAGGTGTTCTCTCCGGGAATCAGCGAATTCATTGTCATTGAGGGCATCGACTTAACTGAAATAAAAAACTTTTCGGAGCAATTAAAAGAGGCAGAAGCCGAAGCCAAGGCTGCCCTAGAAGCTCAAAGTCCTGATGTACCTCAAGAGACAGTAGCTGAAATGGAAAAGTCAGTCGAAAGAGAGATCGCTTTCGAAGACTTAAATACAAGCAAAAGTGAGTTAACTCCCCTTATTCATAACTCAACCGAAGATAACAGCACTAAACTCGAACATTCATTATCTGAGGATGTTAAAGCAGAAGCAATTCCCGATGGGGACGAGGAAATGGTCGAAATAACACCTAGCCAACCGAAAGAAAAGCTCTGCTTCCCAGATGATGCTTCAAAGGACAACTCCGTCCGAAAATTATTTTCGAACAATCAAGAAGTTAGCATTGATTTGACAGATTCGTCCGATTCCGAAAATGACTCAGATATGGATTTACGTAGTGGACCAAAGAGTCCTCAGATTAAGCTGAAACTGAATCAAATGAGCAACTCAACCAAAATTGCACTCCCGGGATTCAAGAAAATCGACAATATTAAAACCTGGATCAAGCAGTGTAGCTTTATCCTCTACTATGGCGGTATAGATGACGAGGCTAAACAGGTCTCGCACATGTGTGGCCGACTCCCACAGCCTCTTCAGAAAACAGTTATTCTTGAGCTTTCTAAAGGCGATGATAAGGACAAAACCAAAATGACAGTCAAACATTTCGAAGCGACCCTCGAAAAATGCTGTCGAAAAGATAATTTCGAATACGAAATTATGCTTAAAAGATAAGATTCGATGAAAATAAGCACGAAAACTTACGAAATTTATTTTACGCCATAGAAGAACTCGTCCGAAATACCGTGACAGAAAGCGCTTCAGATGAAAATCTAAAAGAACTGTCTTTTCGAAATTTCCTCGACAAGCTCCCTAAGAAAATTCAGAATTCAGAAATGCTCCTTGAATACAGAAAAGACAAGAGTAAGTCAAAGGATGATCTCGTTGATAAATGCACAGAATTGTACGCAAAGTACGAGCTCAACAATATTAACCGAGGTAAAAACAATTCAATTCTTTTGGTAAAAGTCACTCGAGAAAATCTCACTGGCATGGAAGCAAAAAGATATCACATGCTCCTTTTGCGGCATTAAAGGTCATCACAGAAGTAAGTGCCGAAAACTGAAAGCTCAGTCCAAAAGTGGCGGTCGCTTCGGCAAAGAAAAAGGAAAAATCGTCTGTTATAAATGCGGCCGACCAGGTCACAAATTCCCGGATTGTAGGTCAAAAATTCTTCCAGCCGTAGAGAGGGCTTTTCCAACTACAAGAAATGATTCCAACAACTACAATCATACTAAAACAGTACCAAGATAATGGTTCTGTTAAAAATCTAGAAAAACCTCAAGTCCTTATTGATACAGGAGCAAGTGAAACTTACATAAACAAGAGCATCATTCCAGAATCAATGACTCTTGAAAAGTTAGAGGTCCAAGAGTCAATTTCTGGCAGACACTGGATTGAGTTGGCCCACTCCGCACGTGGGGCCAAGGCACGGGAGGTCTCAAGCCGAGAGTCAACAGATGCAAGGGACAACGCCGTCGAGGCGAACTCCTGCAGAGTACGGTTCTGGGCCAATTTTAGAGCAAGTCCCGGTGTGAGACCTTGAGTAAACTGAATCAAAGGTCACATTAAGCCCATGATCAGGACCAAGCTTATCTCCGGATCAGCCCTTGAAATCCCATTTACTCGTCCGGATGAAACCCTCAGCCGCGCTTCAAATGAAGCTATTTTCAAACGATCAAAATACGCCGATTACCGAACCCTGACCTTAAGACGAGGGTATGTTCGCATCCACAGCATCAACATATTCGGCCCATAACGCGGCAGAGCCACCAATAAGCAATCCCTTCTGCTCAGGGTTGACTGGATACTGTATCCAGGATCCCTTCTCCATATGATATGGACCATATCCACGCTGTAGAAATATTCCTTACCCTTGTTAGAAATGCCCCAGTTTTGTTGTCCCCAGTCGAGATACTATTAAAAAGAAAGAACCATAATGATCAAAAAATTTTTAAAGCGGACAAAAACTAAGCCTATGGAAAATTGGCAAATTAACCAAAGCAAGAATAGAGTCTATTTCTGTGAGGCGATTAATTACCTTCATCATAAATTTCGCAATCTTATCATTCTGCTTATAACAAAGCTCAAAGTGCTTATAAGTCTCTTCGTTGCTTGGATCTCTTCGTCATTTCATTCGCATAACCGTGGCACTCCGCTAGAAAATCTTCCGGTCGGCCCTTTGCCCACGCATCTGCATGCCCAGGCGAGTCGAATTCGGGAATAACTCGGATTCCTCGAACTCGTTCGTATTCAATGACTTCTTCGATGGTGTAGATTTATTGAGCGCTGTTTCATCAAAATAAATTTTTGGTCGTTTATATCTTCACTGATCCGGAGACGAGCTTGATCCTGATCTTGGGCTCAATGTGACCTTTGATTCTGGTTACTCAAGGTCTCACACCAGAAGGAGTTCGCCCCGGCGGCGTGGTCCCTTGCATCTCTTGACCCTCGGCTTGACACCTCCCGTGCCTTGGCCCCACGTGCGGAGTTGGCCAACTCAATCCGTGTTTCCCCTCAATTTCTAACGCTTTCATGGAAGAAGTTACTCTTATCCGGGAGACCCTAACCGCCAATATCTTTATAAAAACTCGAACATCGAAATCCCTAAAATAACCCTTTTCGTTATTGAAGCGCCAATGAAATTCAATGCAATTCTTGGCATGAACTGCTTGGCATTGTTCAAAATTGACTTTCGTTATCATAAGCTCAAGTTCATAAATAATATTTTCAATAGGGAAGAAAAAGTATTTCAACTATCATTTTCGAAAAACAAAGCGAAAACTACGCGGAGAAGTTCTTTGTCAAAGAGATACTGAACTTGCTCCTCACAGTAATCGTTCGGTATATGTTCGACTTCAAAGAGACTGTAATACGGACCTCCAGCAAATACTGTCCCCCGAAGAAGTGTTTCTGGAAAATCACGTTTTCGTCACTTTGAAGCCAAATTTTTGGAAGAACAAAATGGTTACTGTTCATAACCGCACTAACTCGGTTGTTATAATCGAAAAAGGAGCGCGGTTCGGACTTTTAAGATAACCTAAAAAATGTCTGGATCTAAATTTTCTATTAACAGAAAGTCAATTAGAGCCTTACGAGCGCATTATTCACAAAAAGAGATCAAAAAATGACGAGAAAGGCGTAACAAGCTTATCGCCGAATTCCCTCTTCATAAAGAAATAGAAGAGATTTGCTCAAAGGCACCTATCAAATATAAATCAGGGTTACTTAAAATCTTAAATAACCATCAGGGCATCTTTTCAAGAACACCAAGTGATGCCGGACTTTCTCAAAACTATTTGACAGAATTAAAACTCAAAGATCAATCTGATCCAGTCTACACTTGCCCATACAAAATCGATATTAGTATGCAGGAAAGTGTAGAGAAAAAATTAGCAGAGCTCAAAAATGCTGGGATCATCGAAGAATGCTGCTCTGCATGAAACTCACAGGTTCTTTTCGTAGTGAAAAATGATTCATCGATTCGGGTAGTGAATAATTACTCAAGTTGTGGCGACAGAAGCGTCAACAGTCGCCTCATTGTTCCAAATGTACCCATCCCTTCCCATAAGTACGGTCTTGTCAAAAATCTGTACGGCAATTACAACTTTGAAACAAAGGTATCCTGACGACAGGATTTATTTTGTATCTTTGGATGTCAGAAATGCCTTCTATTCTATCAGTATCCGAGAAAAATCTCGCGATATCACCAGTTTCTTATTTGGCGGTGAACAATTCCGATATCAGCGAATGAGCCAGGGGCTTTCGAGCAGCCCAGCGACATTCCAATACTTTATTAATAAAGTTACAGGTGACTGCGAGAATTACGAATGCCAGAATTACGAGTATTTTGACCAAAATCCAAAAATTTTGAAAACAAGGGCGACTCGACTACTAATATATTTTTGGTTAAAAATGCTTGGCTGTTTAACCTAACGACCACAAACCGGAATTTCAACCTTACCACAATGTGCGTTAACCTAGGGTCCGGCATGATTAGGACCAAAAATTTAATTTCAATGAAACTTCACGATTCCACTAATTCGACCCTCAGGAATTCAATTCCATTCACTGATTCTCCCAAAAACCCCCCATTCAGCCCTTTTCAGGGCTTTAATGAAAATTTAAACGGAGAGCCAAGTGCGCTCTGATTGGTCAGCTCCGCCGAGCGATTTTAAATACTGCCCGAATGATTCCCTTGGTGGCTCAAATGTTAGCGCTCTCGCTTGACAAGCAAGAGGTGGTGAGGTCGAGTCACCTAAAATCAAATTTTTTCATTGAATTTTCCTTCAAAAGAAGACCATAAAATGCGAAATTACACTTTTTGAGCAAAAATACAAGCTATTGAATAATTTTCGTTATTAAAAAAATTTAATTGTAAGATACCATGGAGTTTTACTCTTGGTGGAGAATGTCCCTGGGCCCCCTTCCCCGTTTCCCGCGCAATTCAATGTCGGGGGATTCTAGAAATTTTGCCAAGCCCATGTTTGGCGTTTTCTCAAATCTCGAAATTATGTGCGGAAGAAAAATGTCCGCTGATTGGCTAGACACAGCTGGCGCAGAATTTGGCGCGCTCAGAACTGAGCGTCGAATAAAGCCTATGCATTTTTTCGACGCTCAGATTCTCTTATCTCCACTTAGAGCTCAACTCCATGGTAATAACCATAACGAACCTAGAAATAGGGATAATTTTAATTTTTATGTAAATGGGTGTGGGTGGGAATGGGGACAAAACTGAGATTGATCACCTCAGAGTTAAATGCCTTTGTCAAGCCCCTTAAAGTTAAAAATCAAGGAACGGGGCTGAGACGGCCCGAAGGTTAGGTAGTGGTTATGGTAGGTTAGAGTTAGGGTTAGGTTTATGGGTTAGGGTTAAGGTCAGGCTTGAGAACAAAAACAAACGAATTATTCGTTTTAAAAAACGAATTACTCGTTGGAAACAACGAATTATTCGGTATGTAACGAATTATTCGTCATATACGGTATCGTCAAGAAAAACGGCGATGTTATCACCAACATAACCATCGCAGGTTACGCCAGCAAAGCGCTAGACAGTCAAGAAAAATTGCTTTCTAGCCGCTCAAGAGAGCATATTGGACTGGGCTATGCTCTCAAAGTCTTCGAAGATCTCATACCAAAAGATCGACGATTTCTTCCCTTATGCGACCATAAGTCGCTCGAGGGGACGAAACACAGTTGCAAGTTAAAAGGTGCCGGCGGAAGCAGGGTCCGCCTTGCTTTTTCCAGGCTCCTCGAATACCCCTTATGTACAGTTCATTATATTCCAGGGGAGCATCCCCTTATAAGCCGTTTAAGCCCCGTTCCTTGATTTCTAAATTTAAGGGCTTGACGGCCCTTCGGGCCGTTTCAGCCCCTTTCCTTGATTTTTAAATTTAAGGGGCTTGACGGCCCTTCGGGCCGTTTCAGCCCCGTTCCTAGATTTCTAAATTTAAGGGCTTGACGGCCCTTCGGGCCGTTTCAGCCCCGTTCCTTGATTTCTAAATTTAAGGGCTTGACGGCCCTTCGGGCCGTTTCAGCCCCGTTCCTTGATTTTTAAATTTAAGAGGCTTGACGGCCCTTCGGGCCGTTTCAGCCCCGTTCCTTGATTTCTAAATTTAAGGGGCTTGACAAAGGCTTGGAACTCTGAGTTGATCAATCTCAGTTCTGTCCCCAAC